TTTTTTTTTTTTAGAGACAGAGTCTGTCTCAGTCACCTAGGCTTGAGTGCCGTGGCACAATCATAGCTCACTGCAGCCTCCAACTCCTGGCTCAAGTGATCCTACTGCCTCAGCCTCCTGAGTAGCTGGGACTGAAGGTGCTCACCATGCCTGGCTAATGTTTTAAAATTTTTTAGTAGAGACAAAGTATTGCTATGTTGCCCAGGGTAGTCTCAAACTCCTGGCCTCAAGCATTCCTCCCACCTTGGCCACCCAAAGTGTTGGGATTAAATATTTTATTTTATTAATTAATTTATGTATTTTTGAGATGGAGTCTCACTCTGTCACCCAGGCTGGAGCGAGACTTCGTCTCAAAAAAAAAAAGAAAATTGCAAATAGCTATAGAAAAATGGGCAAAGGATGTAATTATTAAATAGTTAAGTCACAGAACAATATAAATGTATAGTAAATAAATGAAAAAGTGTTCAGCTTCACTAATAAAGAAACGCTAATTAAAACAAGATACCATTTTGTGTCCATCAGTTTGGTAAAAATTAGAAAGATGTATAATGGGCATTCTCATATCCTGTTGGTTAAGTGTGTAAATTGGTATAGCCTTTCTGAAGGGCAACTGGGCATCATTTTAAATCAGCAATTCTACTCCTAGGTAATTATCTTTAAAAATTTTATATATATATATATACACACACATATACACACACACACACGCAGTCTCACTTTGTCACTAGGTTGGAGTGCAGTGGCGCTATCTTGCCTGTCTGCAGCCTCCGCTTCCTGGGTTTAAGCGATTCTCCTGCCTCAGCCTCCCGAGTAACTAGGATTACAGGCGCATGCCACCATGCCCAGCTAATTTTTGTATTCTTAGTAGAGTCTGAGATTCACCATGTTGATCAGGATGGTCTTGATCTCTTGATCTCGTGATACGCCCACCTTGGCCTCCCAAAGTGCTGGGATTACAGGTGTGAGCTACCGAGCCCAGCATATTTTTAAGTGATCATTTCTGAGATCAGCAATGTATTGAAAACCTTAAGCAACTCCCTTTCTGGGAATTTTCCTTCAGGAGGTGACGAGGTATGTGCATGTATAAGGATCTTTGATGCTTATTTCAGCATTGCTTATAATTAAAGGGGGAAAAAAACAAATGTTCAAATGATTGACTCAGTGTGGTGTGTGTGTAAAGTAGAACCGGCCATGCTCAGTGACTCACACCTGTAAATCCCAGCACTTTGGGAGGTTGAGCCAGGTGGACCACTTAAGCCCAGGAGTTCGAGACCAGCCTGGGCAACATGGTGAAACCCCACCTCACAAAAAGTTCAAAAATTAGCTGGGTATGGTGGTGTATGCTTGTCATCGTAGCTACTGGGGAGGCTGAGGTGGGAGGATCAATTGAGCCCAGAAGGTCAAAGCTGCAGTGAGCCGTGATTGTGCCACTGCATTCCAACTTGGGTGATAAAGCAAGACCTTATCTCAGTCCATCAATCAGTCAATCAGTAGTCAAATATTATCTAGTCATTACAAATGATGATATAGCTCTGTATTGATGAAAGATGTTCATCTAAAAGAAAAGTAACATTATAAAGATTTTAATGAAAACTATAAGAGTAAATTCCAGAATATAAAGTGGTATTGGGGTGGTGAGGTTATGGTTCATTTTTGTTTTATATTAAGTAATTTATTTTCTAATTTTTCTTCTAAGGTCATTGATTATTTGTGTAGTTTTAAAAACCCCACCAATATAACAATTTTATTTAATGTTGAATTTTGAATCAGTTCTTTTTGTTATAATTTAGAAGATAAATTCTTGTATTCAAGGGAACAACTTTAAAATTTAGATTTGTTATGGTTTTAGCTGTTGAAAGATTGCTGACATATTAAAAATATGATTTCCTTATTTATAGTGGGAAAGTAAAACTGTCCTGCGCAATGAGCCTTTGGTTTTAGAGGGAGGCTATGAAAACTGGCTCCTTTGCTATCCCCAGTATACAACAAATGCTAAGGTCACTCCACCCCCACGACGCCAGAATGAAGAGGTGTCTATCTCATGTATGTATGTGAAAGTTTTTGTTTAAAATTGCTTTGGTAAAATATACTTTAAAATTATGTTTTCACGGAAACATTCTTGGTTGTGTGTGCATTTGTCCTATTAAAGAGCAGTTTGTTTTCAGGCATAAAAATATAAGCCTGGAAGTTCACATTTTCTTTGACTGTTGTAATTGTCATCTCACTTATTTTGCATTTAATTATTACATTAATGTGCATGAGAAATGTAAGTACTGTTTATGGGTTTGCTATTCTTAAAAAACATTTTTATTTTTGGAATTTTAGTGGATTTTACTTATCCTTCATTGGAAGAATCAATTCCTTCTAAACCCACTGCACAGATGTCACCTCTACCTGTAGAAGTAGATGAAAATATTGAATTGATAAGTGATCAAAATGAGAGAATGGGACCACTGAATATATCAACTCCAGTTGAACCAGTTGCTGCTTCTAAATCTGATGTTTCACCCGTAATTCAGCCAGTGCCTAGTATAAAGAACGTTCCACAGGTATGTTCTTGATTTTCACTTTATTCTCTCTTTTGCTTTAATATTAAATACATAGTGTAGCTGGTCACGGTGGCTCACGCTTATAATCCCAGAACTTTGGGAGGCTGGGACGGGTGGGTCACCTGAGGTCAGGAGTTCAAGACCAGCCTGGCCAACATGGTGAAACCCCATCTCTACTAAAAATACAAAAAATGGCTGGGCTTGATGGCAGGCGACTGTAATCCCAGCTGTTTGGGAGGCTGAGGCATTAGAATTGTTTGAACCCGGAAGGTGGAGGTTGCAGTGAGTTGAGATTGCACCACTGCACTCCAGCCTGGGTGACAGCAAGACTCTGTCTCCAAAAAAAAAAAAAAAAGACGTAGAATTTTAATAATCTTTAACATCTTAGAAAAAAGTATCAATGAGAAGAATGTATGTTTTGACATATTTTTTGTTTAAAAATTTTTCATCATAATTCAGTGTTACCACCACATCTATGTTAGAGTAGATAATTCAAAGGATTTCAAAGCCAGCTGGTAATCCATTTGCTACAGACAGTGCCAATAAACATTGCATACCACAGTGAATTAGTATAGCCCTTTTGGGATATTTTAGGATTATAATTTGACCCATAGTATTTTCCTAAATAGCTTGGCTTACATATGGTAGGTATGTGATGTCAGTATTTTGGTTTTAAAATAATAGTTTAGTTCAATTTCCTTAGAATTTCACACACAAATAACAGGCTTGTTTAATGATAATCATTTAAAGGTTTTTAAATAACCAAGATGTTACAATAAAAAAAGTTTAGTTTTTATTTCCTTTATTTGGTTTTATTTAAAGAGAGGTTAACTAATGCCCCCCTTCTGTGCATTTCCCAGTAACACTTTTTAGCATTCATTTTTAATTTTTCCCCAGATATATTTAAAATAGTATTTCACATTTAAAGTGGATGACATCTGATTTGTGGAGCCAGTTGTGAATAGAAAATCTGGTAATTTTTTTTTATAAACTGAAGTGGTTCATGTCTTCATTTTTAAGATCTTTTGGTATTGCAGAATAAATTGCAGACTATTAGACAACTTTTCTTAAAGGGTAAATTTAGGAAATTCTAAAAAGAACTTATGTTATTGCATTTCCTTTCAACTTAATCTATTTAAACCCTAATCCTTTTGTGTCCCAGCATAACTTTATGAGATATATACAGTTTTTCAGACATATTTTGAGATCTTCTATATAAAAGACAGCATGAGGGCTGGGTATGGTGGCTCATACCTGTAATCCCAACACTTTGGGAGGCAGAGGCGGGCGGATCACCTGAGATCAGGAGTTTGAGACCAGCCTGGCCAACATGGTGAAACCCCATCTCTATTAAAAATACAAAATTTAGCCAGGCGTGGTGGTGCATACCTGCAGTCCCAGCTACTCAGGAGACTGAGGCAGGAGAATCAGTTGAATCTGCGAAGCAAGTTTGCAGTGAGGCGAGATTGAGCTATTGCACTCCAGCCTGGGTGACAGAATGAGACTCCATCTCAGAAAAAAAAAAAAAAAGACAGCATGAAAGTTTAGATTCTTCTGATGTTTAGTAGGAGAGATCTGTGTAAACAGCCACAGCATAAGGCAGAGTATCATAATTGCTCTACAAGCCATTGGAGCACAGGTCAAGGAGAATATTTTAGCTGAGAAGATCAAGGATATCTTCATGGAAGAGATAGTATTTTATCTGGGCTTTAAGAATAGGAGTTGAGGATAGAAGAAGCAAGTAGAAAATTGTAGGACCAAAGGCACAGAGCATTCTTTGGGGCCAGTGAACAGTTGTGTTTTTTTTGGGACGGAGTTTCACTCTTGTTGCCCAGGCTGGAGAGCAATGGGGTGATTCAGCTCACCACAACCTCTGCCTCCTGGGTTCAAGCATTTCTCCTGCCTCAGCTCCTGAGTAGCTGGGATTAAAGGCATGCAGCACCATGCCTGGTTAATTTTGCATTTTTAGTAGAAACAAGATTTCTCCATGTTGGTCGGGCTGGTCTCGAACTCCTCAGGTGTTCCACCTGCCTCGGCCTCCCAGAGTGCTGGGATTACAGGCGTGAGCCATTGGCCCTGGCCTAGTGAACAGTTTTAACATATGTAGGTGCTAGTCTCTGTTGGAGAGAGGAAGTTATGATAGTAGATAAGATTAGAAGGATGGACAAGAATCATCAAGAGAGACTTGAATCAAATTTGAATTTCATCTTCTAGGCCCAAGGAACCATTGAAGAATTTTAAACTTGTGAGTAACATGATCATAACTGTGCTTTTAAGATTAAGGAAAAATAGATCAAGCCACCAAAATGTAAATGGAAACAGTATTTATTTTTGTTTCTGTTCCACCTCATATTGTTAACTTCATCCCCATAGTGGTTCTTCTTACCTTATTCTCAGATACATGTAGAAAAAAAGACAGGATTTTTTTTTAAGAGGCAGAAAGAGAAGTAAACAAATAATTTTTTTTTTTTTTTTTAATATGGAGTATTGCTCTTGTCACCCGGCTGGAGTGCAGTGGCACAATCTCTGCTCACTGTAGCCTCCGCCTCCTGGGTTCAAGCAATTCTCCAGCTTCAGCCTCCCGAGTAGCTGGGATTACAGGCACCCACCACCACGCCTGGCTAATTTTTATATTTTTAGTAGACACAGGGTTTTACCATGTTGGCCAGGCTGGTCCTGACCTGAGGTGATTTGCCTGCCTCAGCCTCCCAAAGTGTTGGGGTTACAGGCGTGAGCCACTGCACCCAGCCAATAAATTATTTTTTTCTACTAACTTCTTTGTTTTCTTTTTTGAAGACAGGGTATCGCTCTCTCGTTCAGGCTAGAATGCAGTGGCACGATCACAGCTCACTGCAGCCTCAACTTCTTGGGTTCAAGCAATCCTCCCACCTGAGCCTCCTGAGTAGCTGGGATTATAAGCACATGCCACCACGTTGGGCTAATTTTTGTATTTTTTGTAGAGACAAGGTTTTGCCATGTTGCCCAGGCTGGTCTTGAACTCCTATCCTTAAGTGATCCACCTGCCTTGGCTTCCCAAAGTGCTGGGATTACAGGCTTGAGTCACCGCACCCAGCAACTTGTTTTCTAGTAGATGAACATAAATTAGTTTTGTAAGAACACTGTGTAGATTGTTATTGGCAGATATTGTTGTAGGTTTTTATTTTTGTTCCAGTACAGAATATTTGCAAGAAATGATGTTAGGGTCACATCTTAAAATGATGTAATGTTAATATGTTGTTAATTTGAGGTAGTAAACATTTAACTCATTAAATCAGAAACTTAGGTAGTTTATTACTCAACTTGAAGGAAAACAGTATTTTACCTCCTGTAAAAGTTGTTAGGGAAGATTGCATTTGTTCCCTCAGTAACATAGTTATTAACTGTGTCAGGCACAGTTTCTATCCTTTTAGAGCTTATATTCTAGGAGGGAAGAAAGATTTTTAACAAGTAATTACAATTATTTGATCAGATTTCCAACAGAGGGAGAAGAATAAGGTATTATAAAAGCATATATCAGGGGACTTGGCTAGGTTCTAGGAATCCGGGAAGTCTTTTCAGAGGGAGAGATGTGTAAGCCAAGATCTAATGTGGGCATTATCTAGATGAAGAGCTGATAGACAGACCTAAGTTGGGAAGGAGCATAGCATCTTTGAAGAATTTTTTTTTTTAAGTTTTTTTTTTTTTTTTTTTTTTTTTTTTTTTTTTTTTTTTTTTTTGAGTCAGAGTTTCGCTCTTGTTGCCCAGGCTGGAGTAACAAGATATTGGCGTGGATTGGCTCACTGCAACCTCCGCCTCCCAGGTTCAGGGGATTCTCTTGCCTCAGGCTCCCAAGTAGCTGGGATTACAGGCATGTACCACCACACCCAGCTATGTATTTTTAGTAGAGACAGGGTTTCACCATGTTGGTCAGGGCTGGTCTTGAACTCCCAACCTCAGGTGATCCACCCACCTCAGCCTCCCAGAGTGCTAGGATTACAGGTGTGAGCCATGGTCAGATTTTTCTTTTAAATGGCAAGTATGGCTGGTATACATAGCCATATGACTGGAGAAAGAGGCAGATGTAAGACCACACATGGCCGTACAGGCTGTACTAAAGATTTTAGATATAATGAGAGCACAATGGGTAGCAAATTAAAATAAGGATTTAAGCAGGAGAGAAAATGGTCAAATTTGTTTTAAAATGAATATGCTGGCTATAATGTGGAAAAACAGATTGGGGGGTGGAGCCAAGAGAAGAGATGGGCAACTAGTTGAAAGCTATGCTGTAGTCCTGGTGAGAGAGGAGGTTGGCATGGTCTTGGCTTGTGGCAGAAGAGATGGAGGGACAGATATAGGAGGAAAATTATCAGCATGCAGAAGGATATGGGAAGAACGTTAAGGGACTCAGGTTTTTGATTTGTGCAACTATTGGGAGAGTAGGTAACATCCATGAAATTAGGACCATGTTTGTGGGGGTGGTGGGGGAATCGTGAATCCATTTTGGCTATATGAGGTTTGAGGTATATGTATTGACACTCAAATGGAGATATTGGGTAGGTATTTGGATATCTGGAAGTGGAACTTACGTTTAGGTAGGCCCTGGTCTAGGTTTTATGTTTTGGAATGAAGATATTTGAAACTCTTTTGTATATAAAACACTCAAGAAAAATTAAAAGTGTTGAATCAGGAGGACCTAAGTGCCAATGATGTTTAATATCTCCCATTCAAGTTCTGTTTTATGAGAAATCTTGACAGTGAGTACTTAACAAATGGATGTACTGACAGATGTTGTCTCCACAAAGTGACACTTCTTTTATCACAACTTTATCTCAAGAACTGAGGTTTTTGTCCTGATTTTTGACAAAAATGTTTTGCTCTGGTTTTGTTGCTCTAGATTGATCGTACTAAAAAACCAGCAGTCAAATTGCCTGAAGAGCATAGAATAAAATCTGAAAGTACAAATCATGAGCAACCATCTCCTCAGAATGGAAAAGTTATTCCTGATCGTTCCACCAAGCCAGTAGTTTCCTCTCCAACTCTCTTGTTAACAGATGAAGAAAAGGCTCGTATTCATGCAGAAACTGCTCTTCTAATGGAGAAAAACAAACAAGAAAAAGAACTTCGGGAAAGGCAGCAAGAGGAACAGAAAGAGAAACTGAAGAGAGAGGAACAAGAACAGAAAGCCAAAAAGAAACAAGACGCTGAAGAAAATGAAATTACAGAGAAGCAACAAAAAGCAAAAGAAGAAATAGAGAAGAAGGAAGGTGAGCAGGCCAAGAAAGAAGATAAAGAAACCTCAGCAAAGAGGGGCAAAGAAATAACAGGAGTAAAAAGACAAAGTAAAAGTGAACATGAAACTTCTGATGCCAAGAAATCTGTAGAAGATAGGGGGAAAAGGTGTCCAACCCCGGAAGTACAGAAAAAGTCAACAGGAGATGTGCCCCATATATCTGCGACAGGGGATTCCGGTTCAGGCAAGGTAAGCAGCAACAGTACAAATTGCCAGTGAAGATATGATAACACCAGTGGCATTCTTCCAAAAAAAGGACAGGCATTTCAAATAGTCTTTTCATGGGGGATAGAATGTACTGATCTATCCACATTTGCTCACCTATGTTCCTTTGAGGCCAGTGCCATACAGTGCCATTCATAAACAATCATTTATGAAATGATTGGTTGGGAATGAAATTGCTTTTTGTATATTGCATCTATAAAATGCAGTATATTTCAAATAATTGAGATAAATAGCTACATTCTTCATTTTTATGTTTGATGTATGATCATGGAAAGACTACAGTAAAATATAATCTCCTTCTCAGTATAGAGGAACTAGATGCCAATATTTGTATGATAGAGTTTATATCTGCTTAGAATATATCCAAAATCAGTGACATCTAAATGACCCAACGTTTATCTTTGCATATAATGATTTTTTTGGTCAGATCTGTGTCATTTTGTTTCTTATCTATTCAAATAATATTGGCAAATAACCCAATTAATTTTGCCCCTGGCTTCACACCCAAAATTGATTCCCATAGTTTTAGGGGACATTATTATTGTTCAATCTCTAATAATGCCATGCTTTTCTATTTTTCTTCATTATGGCATCAATAATGTCTTTTTCTTTTGAACGCCGAATATACGTTTGTAATAGCAAGAACAGTTATAGTGTTTTTTACATATATATAAATGCAAAAAACATTTTTAGTAGTGTGAAAATGACTTCTAATGGAAGGCGGGATACTATTTTTACAGAACATCAATTTCTTTCTTTTGTTTTTTTTTAAGAGACGGGTTTTACCATGTTGATCAGGCTGGTCTCAAACTCCTGACCTCAGGTGATCCACCCACCTCAGCCTCCCAAAGTTCTGGGAATACAAGCACGAGCCACCGTGCCCAGCCCCAGAACGTCAATTTCTGTACTTCTCAAACACAATAAAGGCTTGTTACCAAAATTAACAATTCATAGTCAAGCTACTTGTATCCAGGGAAGATCTGCTAACCTCTGCTATTAAAAAAGATAGCTTCCATCCAAAAACCTTCTTAACACTCCGCATTGGGAATATGAAGCCCATGTATTAAAACCCTCTAACTTTATTCACAGGAGGATCAAACATGTGAGCTGTTATTTAACATACAATTTAAGTATTATTCATTGAGTAGCTACTATATATAGCCAAGTATTTTCAGTACATTATCTTATTTACTGCTAATGCTAATCCCATATGGTATTCAATTTACAAGTGAAACTGAAGCTTAGAGGTTAAGTATTTGCCTAAGATCACATAGGCAGTGAGATTCCAAAGCTACTTCCTTTCCATCTTGCTATACTAGAGGCATGCAGTCTTTAGAACTTAAATCATTCATATTTGTGGAGTCATTTAGTATATAGGTGCCAAATATTCCTACACATCTAAGTAAAGATTACATTCCTTGTGTGCTCCTTTTAAAAGTAGGAGAAATATGTAATTTATTCTAGAATAAATTTTGTTAAAAGTTTCACTAATTTAAAAAAGTTTTTAGTAGAGTTATTTTAAAATAAGATATAAAACTAAAGTTTTTAAAAAGAATCTATGAGGTTATAAGAAGACATAAATATGGATTTTGTATTTTTGACTATAGGTCTGTATAAAATTCTTAATTTCTTCATTCTCTTGAATATAAATTTTTTGAAGCACAACTGCTTTCAACGTAGCCAAAATCATAATAATATTTAAATAAAAGAATAATGTTCTAATGAGGTCATGGTGATTATACATTAATGATCAACATTTTATACTCTGCCATGTAGTATGAACCAGTGCTTCACAGTCCAACTTGATTTTTATCTTTTTTTCTTCACTGATTCATCAGTGTTGTTTAGTTTTTTAAGTATTTGGAATGTGACAATAAAATACCATAAACTTTTCAGAGGTCTCCTTTTACATTTTCAGTCTCATAGATTTGGTTGTGTTAGCTAGTAGCTTTATTTTGGGAGGAGAGTTAGAGTTTTCTTTCACTAATGTAATTTTAATAATTTTACAGCCATTTAAGGTTAAAGGACAACCAGAAAGTGGAATTCTAAGGACAGGAACTTTTAGAGAGGATACAGACGATACCGAAAGAAATAAAGTAAGTAGTTCATTGAGGGGAAAAACTGGAATAAAAACCAAACATGGATTATAACTATCTGATTATCTGACATTGTCATCCTCTGTCATGAGATCTACAGTGTAATGGGATCTTTGCCATCTTTGGTAGCTGTTTTTTTGCTTGTTTTTACATGATCAATCCATTTATATGCTAAAGGAAATAGAGTTTGTCTTCCTATTTAAAGTTTGACAGCATATTCTATTTTATGAAAGTAAAAAATATTTAGGCCTTACCATATGATCTAGCAATTCTATTTCAAGGTATATACCCAAAAGGATTGCAAACAAGAAGTATTTGTGCCACCTGTTCTTAGCAGTATTATTCATAATAGCTGAAAAATGGAAGCAACTCGAATGTCCAACAGCAGGTGACTGCATAAACAAATGTGATATGTACATACAATGGAATATTATTCAACCTTAAAAAGGAAGGAAATTTTGACACATTACAACATGGATGAACCTTGAGGTCATTTGCTAAGTGAAATAAGCCAGTTACAGGATAAATACTGAATGATTCCAATTCTCTGAGGTTTGTGAAGTAGGCAAATTTATGTAGACAGAAAGTAGAATGGTGGTTGTCATAGCTGGGGAAAGGGGAAATGGGGAGTTATTGTTCAGAAGGTACAGAGTTTCAGTTTTGCAAGATGGAAAGAGTTCTGGAGATTGTTGGCACAGCAATATACTTAATGTCACTAACCAGTGCACCTAAAAACTGTTAAGATGGTAAATTTTATGTTATGTGTATGTCATCATAATTTTTAAAATACATAGGCTTTGTATAAGACATCTTTGCCTTTGTTTTTCTTTCAGAGCTTAATTGAGATACAATTTGCATACCATAAAATTCACCTTTTTTTCTTATTTAAAATTCACCTATTTTTAGCATGCAGTTCAGTGATTTTTTATTAATTTAGAGTTGTGAAACCATTAATACAATCCAATTTTAGAACATTGCCGTCACATCAAAAAGACCCCATGACCAATTTAGTCTACCCTAAAGCTCAGGCAACACTGAGTCTACTCTCTGTCTCCATAGATCTAACTTCTCTGGGATATATATACAGTTGTCCCTTGGTATCTGTAGATGATAGGTTCCAGGACCTCCCTACCATACCAAAATCTGAGGATGCTCAGGTCCGTTACATAAAATGGTATAGTGTTTGCATATAACTTATGTACATCCTCATATATACTTTAAATAATCTCTAGGTTACATACCTAATACAATATAAATGCTATGAAAATAGATGTTATACTGTGTTGTTTAGGGAATAATAAAAGCCTGTACATGTTCAGTACAGCCAGAATTAATTTTTTTCAAGTATTTTCAATCTGTGGGTGGTTGAATTCACAGATGCAGAACTGATGAATACAGAGGACCAACTGCATATCCAATCTAAATCTATGTGAATTTAACATGTAAAATTTTTGTTAAGTCATTCTCCTGTATTTTGCCATTGACAAAATCTGAGACCAGCCTTGGCAACATAGCAAGACCCCATTTCTCCACAGAAAGAGGAAAAAAAAGGGGCCAGGTATGGTTGCTCAGGCCTGTAATTCCAGTACTTTGGGAGCCTGAGGTAGATGGATCACTTGAGCCCCAGGAGTTCAAGACCAGCCTGGGCAATACGGCGAAACCCTGTCTTTAGAAAAAAATATAAAAAATTAGCTAGGCATGGCGGCACCTGCCTGTAGTCCCAGCCAGTCAAAAAGCTGAGGTGGGAGTATCACCTAATCCTGGGGAGATTGAGGATGCAATGAGCTGTGATCATGCTCCTGCACTCCAGCCTGGGCAACAGAGTGAGACGCTGTCTCAAACAGGAGGGAAAATGGCATAAAATATATTAAGGCCAGAATGACTGAATTCACAATTTTCTTATTTTTCACTGCAATAGTTAAAGAGCCACAGCAACAACAAATCCATTAATATTTATACAAAAAATGTCCATTAACTACAGAAGTCAAATGATTTATAGAATTTGTTTAGGTCTAAGATGAACTCCCTCCCATACCAAAATCTGAGGATGCCCAGAATTTGTCACCCAGGCAGGAGTACAGTGGTGTGATCATAGCTCACTTGACTTCCTGGGCTCAAGCCTTGACCTGGACTCAAGGGATCCTCCCACCTCAGCCTCCAGAGTAGCTAGGACCACAGGTGCAAGCCACCAGGCCTGGCTGGGGTGTTTTTGTTTTTGTTTTTGTTTTTGTTTTTTTGTTTTGGAGTCTCGCTTTGTTGCCCAGGCTTGATTGCAGTGGCATGAACTCAGGTCACTTTAACCTCCACCTCTCAGGTTTAAGGGACTTGAGCATCCTCAGATTTTGGTATGGGAGGGAGGTCCTGGAACCAATCATTAAATGTAACACATAACCCATTAAAACCATGTTATGTAAGAATGAGAAAATGGACTTTAAAGACTAGGGGCAAGGATGGGAGGGGGGGCAAGGGATAAAAGACTAGAAATAGGGTGCAGTGTATACTGCTCAGGTGATGGGTGCACTAAAATCTCACAAATCACCACTAAAGAACTTAGTAATAGGCGGGCATGGTGGCTAACGCCTATAATGCCAGCATTTTGGGAGGCAAAGGCGGGAGGACCATTTGAGATCAGGAGTTTGAGACCAGCCTGGCCAACATGGTGAAACCCTGTCTCTACTAAAAATACAAAAAGTAGCCAGGTGTAGTAGCTTGTCCCTGTAGTCCCAGCTACTTGGGAGGATGAGGCAGGAGAACCACTTGAAACCAGGAGGTGGAGGTTGCAGTGAGCTAAGATCGTGCTATTGCACTCCAGCCTGGGCAACAGAGTGAGACTCCATATGAAAAAAAACCAAACAAAATTAGATTGTAACCAAGTATCACCTGTACCCCAATAACCTATGGAAAAATAAAAATAGAGAAAAAATAAAACCATGTTACGTTTTATTGATGTTCTTCTAAGAACAAAAAATGAAATTTCTTAAGATATGTAAGCCTGACAAAGATTAAGAATTTCAGCCCTAGTCAAACAGCAGTGCTCCAAAAGTGAAACTCAAGAGAGCTGAAAATGAGTTAACAATAAGAGAAAATGAAGAGAGAGATATACATATACATGCCTTCTCTTCTGACATTATTCTGTTCCTTTTAGATGGAAGGAGTAGGGATTAGATGACTGGAACTACAAAGTGAAGACTAAAAACTAAAAAATACAAAGTTAAAATGGAGGTTTGCAGTTATTCCTACTGGACCTGACATTTTAAGCAGGGCTTCACGCCAGCCACAGCCAATGTCTTTGGCAACAATGAAAGGAAAGCAAAAGTTGTCCTTGTTGGCCACCTGCCATCTTGCCCCATCTCTGCCCTTCAGGAAGCAACAGTATTGAATATATCTTCTGGCTGTCTTAAATGTCATGCTGTATAATCCACCCTACGTTCATTCTATGTAAAATGCCACATACAAGTATTGATTAAATAACATTTTAAAGTAATTGTCAGATATTAAGAAGGCCCAGCCTTCTCAAGATTTACTCACCACTAAAGCTTACAGTATTTGCTAAACAACTACTGTCTCTCTAGCACTGTGCTAAATGCTTGAGGGTAGTGTTTTTAAAATCTATAAGGTCATCATCAGTGCGAGTACAAGCCCAGGTGTGGTGGCACGTGCCTGCAGACCCAGCTACTTGGGAGACTGAGGCAGGAGAATCATTTGTGCCAAGGGTTCAAGAACAGCCTTGGCAATATAGTGAAACCCTATCTCTAAAAATTTTTTAAATGATATTTGCAAACATTTTCTCCCAATATGTGGCTTATATTTTCATTTTCTTTTTTTTTTTTTTTTTTTTTTGAGATGGAGTCTTGCTCTGT